AGCAGACTAAATACTTGAATTGGCTGAAGCATCCGCAAAGGATGAATATGAAAGCATATCTGAATACATGAATCAAAACCACTTTTCTTATTTTAAAGGTTGCTTTATATGTTTCTTTTTCTATTAAATGGAAAGAGGAAGTAAAGTTTCACATGCAGGACCAAGATTATGGAGACAGACTGACATAAGAGATGTCAGAATCTTATTTTCAAAATATGTAAAATAATATTCTCTACACAGGCTTTGCTCAGGTATTAGTTCTCCTCATTTCTAACTGATCCTGATCACTATATGTCTAGATAAAAAAAAATTAATGCCTCCCAACTTCCATACCAAAACCAAGTATCACCAACTTCCATGACTGCCTCAAAACACAAGGTGTAACGACAGACCACTGTCCCCTTCTTCTACAAATATTAATCTGCAAATTTTTGGGTGTTCCCCTCTTCTTACATTATAGATACACAAGCAAATGAAACAGACACATACACTCACACAAATACACACAGAGAGATTTTATCTGACAAACTTCTCAATATTGTTCATCTTGTTTGTTTCTACAACACCTGGGACCAGTCATTTCTTCAATCATATAATCTACTTCAGGAGAAAGAAGCAAATGTTAAACAGTTTCCCTCATAACCCAATAAATCTTGCATGAGTTTTGTTCTTATGATGTCAATAATATTCAATGCTTCCAGTAAATGGTGAAATCAATAGAACAAGTGCTATTATCCTCATCTGACCAAAAAAAAAAAAAAAATGGCGTTCTAGTCGGCTTTTTCATTACTGTGGCCAAAAGACTCAGTAAGAACAATTTTAGAGAAGGAAAGTTTCATATGGGGGCTCATGGTTTCAGAGGTCTCAGTCCATCGATGGCCAACTCCATTCCTCAGGGATTGGGACGAAGTAGGACTTCATGGCAGAAGAATGTGGTAGAGAGAAGCAGCTCAAGACATACCAGGAAGCAGAGAGAGAAAGAAGGAGAGAGCTCTGCTCAATAAGCACAAAATATATACCCCAGAGGCACACCCCACATGACCCATCTCCTCTAGCCACATCTTACTTGGCAACAGGTAACCAGTTTATCCCTCTCAGGGGATTAATTCACTGATTGGGTTGAGGATTTCATAACCCCATCATCTCACCTCTGAACCTTCTTTCACTGTCTCATACCTGAGCTTTCAGGGGACATCTCAGATCTAAGCCATAACGAATGGCATGGAGTGACACAAGACTGTTCTAAAAGCTTGAATGGCCACATTTTTACAATCTAACGTGGCATCCTGCCATTTTTTCTGGGTAGAAAGAATATCTGAATACATGATGCAAAATCACTCTTCTTATTTAAAGTTACTTCAGTTGTTTCTATTTCTTTTAAATGTAAGTTAAATGTTAATAGTCAATGTTATTTAGAGCCCATTCTGATGTGCTAATTTTCAGTGCCACAACACTGTATTATTAAGAGTCAGTATATTTCAGCTCACAAATCTAACAAGAACAGATATCTTAAGTTTCTTATATGTACATTCCCAGAGGTTGAATGCAGTGCAGGAATGATGATTGATTTTTTTTTCTGAAATAAAAGACTCCTATGGCTTTGTGATATGTAACAACTTGTGTCATGAACCACAATTTTAAGGACTATGTCAAGCCAAACAGAAAATAAATCTGGCTTGATAGGGTCTTGAATGTCTGTTCCTTCAATAATTTGATATAGCTGCATGGAATATCTAGTATTTGTCTACATTATTCTAACCACTAGAAGTGTTCTGGGAAATGACAGATAAGGTCTCTGCCCCCAAAGAACTTGCATACATATCAAAAGAGAAAAGTAGACACATTTTCATGCACGGCAAATTTGAAAATTAAAAATGCTTAGAATATATTACAATGAAATTGTAATAAAGTAACAGTTGATATGAGATGTAAATAATGGGTAAAGCCATCACATAAGACAGATGTTGAGTGCTCAAGAAAGAACAGCACAAGCAAAGTCCCCAAACCTGGGAGGAGCTCATTGTCATGTTGCAAGCATGACAGTCAAAAAGGCTAGCATACAGAGATGAATCCAAGAAACAGGTGACAATATCACCTAAAGCTTCAAGGCCATATAAAATTAGAAATTTGTTTTGACATTCAATGGGTAGGCATTATTAGGTGATCATAGTAGGAAAACAGCATAATCTGATTTGCACATCTATTGGTCCAGGAAATTTTCTGAACCAACATAGTGTTCTCAAACACCAAAGAAACACTGAGTGATAATCAGATTTCTGTCTTTATGAAGTTCACTTACAAAAGCATGAACATGAAAGGAATTCAAATTAATAATAATCCAAATTGAAATGCCACTAATCAAAACAACTCTATTCTCTCACCCAGATGTACAGTTTTATAAGATTTTCCTAGAGTTAGGGATCAATACATGGATTATGCAGGTTCCTCCTCAAAGAATGCAGAAACTTCACACAGACACGGTTACACGTACGTGTGTGTACACACACATACACACACACACACACACACACACACACACACACACACGCCACTCAGCATTGCAAAGAGAAACCAGCATTGGTGGGATGGGAGTTGGGTATGATTACAATAATGTCTGTCATCCTAACTGGGACATTTATGAGAATGATAGGACACCAGTGATAACTACATCACAACAATAGGCATACCTGGGACTGTCCCTGGCATCTGTCATATAGACTTTTTGACCAAGGTTTGGTCCTAATCTTGTCTCAAACCAGCTGCGTGGTTAGGAGCAAGGGATCATCCTTTCTGAGACATATGATGTATTACATTGTTCTGATTTATTGAACAACAAGTGCCAAATATCTCACTGGAGAGACAGACAAATCAAGCACATTTCCAGCTCAAGGTCAAGTCAGAAAGCAAAGAAATTGTACTGTATTACAATGCTTGAGACCACTGAAACCCCGACACCAGGGTAAAAAGTCTAGAGTTAACAGAATTGAGGAATGATGATAACTCATATGAAGATATATCAAAGAATACTTCATGGGGACTTGGTGAAAAATGAGCTGAATCTAGAGAAAAGAACAGAAATTCATAAGAAAAGAATCATGTTCCATCCCAGAAGAGAGGATCAATGTGTAAGGGCACAGAAGGGCACAGCACCACGGCAGGTCCAAGCAGTTATAGAGCTGGTTTAAGTAGGTGATCTCTAAGGTCCTATGCCCTAAAAATCTAAAGATCTCTCCTCTCAGTGATGTCAAATATAATTTGTAAAAATTAAAATTTTACTTTCGTCCTCAAAGTATCATATATATTAATATTCTGTTTCCACTCCTCGATGACAGCCATTTGATCTCTTTCTACTCACATGACATCTATTTTTATGAGCTGCACACATTCAGAAATACCTGGAAGTACATAAAAGGACTGTGTTGAAGACCCTGGATAAATGCAAACCTCCCCATGAAGTTATAAATCACTATGTCCATAATAATATAGATATGGACGGAGTATAGAGCAGAATGTCAAATATGCAGGGACAGTTAAGATCATAGCTAACGTTTACTGAATATTGAACAGGAATGAGTTCAATTAATTATCACAATTCTATATTAATTAGATGTAAACATTAGTTTAAAGATAGTTGAGGTATATATTAGAAAAAAAAACTTGCTTAAGGTAACCTGCTTAAAAATGGCAGAGCTGGCTGGGTATGGTGGTGCACATCTATAATTCCAGTGGTTTGGAGGCTCAGGCAGGAGGTTCATGAGTTCAAAGCCAGCCTCAGCAAAAGTGAGGCACTAAGTAACAGTGAAACCCTGTCACTAAATAAAATACAAAATAGGGCTGGGGATGTGGTTCAGTGGTCAAGTGCCTCTGAATTCAATCTCTAGTAACCCCTATTTCCCCCAAAAATGGCAAGGCTGGGGTTTGACTGAAGAAGTCTGGCCCAAGGGTCTATGCTCTCAACTACTATATTACATCACTACATGCCTCTCACTAGTTATGTTAAGACTGTGGGGGGACAATTCATGCTATATGCCCAGTGTTCCTTAATTCATCTTCACTTTAAGACAACACAGGACATAGGGTAGAAAAATACTGACTGGATTTGAGTAGTGGCTTTTAGAGGGAAAAAATATGCAATGAACAGAGACAATAAATTTTCACAATTAGATTCCCACTTTCTAATTCATCAGCCTGAACTTTGAGGACCCACAGTCAGAATATTTGCCCTCCAGGTCTGTCCAACATTTAAGAATTCAGCTGAGCCCACATGACATGAAAGACCTGGATTGGCTAAGGTTCTCATGGAAACAGTTAGATTTCTAATCACTTGTTTGGATTACATCAAAGTTGTAAGGTCTTGAAGGTGAAGAACTCCATCTGTTAACCTCCTGTGTTTAGCATTTAAAAGAACTACAAGCAAGTGGCAATTAGAGGTGGCTTTGCAGGCGGTGGTGGTAATAGTAACAATAATAAGGTTAATGCAACTATACTGTGTATGTGCATTGGTTCAAAGCTTGCAATTTTTAAAGACATCATATTCCATTTAATCCTAACATATGTATATTACTATCCCCATTTCCATACATGCACAGATGAAGTATCAGAGATTATAGAGAGTTTGGAAGTACAAGAACTAGGATTTACACTAAGTTTTCTAAATCTAACTGTAGCACTACCTCCTCTTCTCCACAGCTGCCTCTCAAACTGTCAAAAATTTTAGAAAGTCTTCCTGGTTTTCCATAGACAGAACTAAACACCCATAGCATACCCAGGTTTTGTTCTTCCAACTGCCCCAATTTCTATATAAAAAATTCTAACACCACACAATGTATAATCCCTGCTCTAATCTCTAAATTGTTGAGGGAGGAAATTTGAAAATAGATGAATTTAATCATCAGTAAGTAGTCACGTTTTAACGCTGAGAACCAACCCAACACAGCACCAAAGCAGGCTGCCTCTCATACAAAAGTCCAGGTGGATGGAGGGTATGACTGAGCGCTTACCAATACAGGACTCCCCGGACAGTGAATAGGTCCCATCGTCATGAAAACCGCTTCTGCACTCACAGTGGTACCACCCTGGCAGGTTAACGCAGCGGGAATGGTTGTGGCACTCAATGATCCCCTCTGTACATTCATCAATATCTGCCTCAGAGAAAAACACAAGCCCACCAGGACATTAATGTCTTTTGACACTAACCTTTTAGTAAATACCCCAAACATGCTCATGTCAACATATCAACTGTAATTGTTTAGTCACCTGAAATGAAAGTTACAGGAAAAACCAAATCCCGTTATTTCTAGAATCATATACACACACAAAAAAAATTTGAAAGCTTCATTCATAGATGCTTTCTCATGCTTTGGACAATGAATGACACCTTATGGTCACGAAGACACTCCTTACTACAAATGCTATGTTGGCATCTAGACAACCAAACTCTAAATTCAGAACACTTGGCACCATTTTAAAATTGGTGTGTCTGATTTTTCTTGGATTCAGCATTTCTAAATTAGTAATTTCAGATATTACCTTGTGGTCTTTGAAAGATACTTATGAAAAAGTATAATATATATGATATGTATAATCTGCAAAGCTTTGAAAAAAAAGAATAATAACATGGAGGGTTTATTATCAGATTTCCTTGGCTAGTAGATAGTTTTTATTGGGAATAACTTTGACATCTTAAGAAACTAGTGTTCTTTGAAACACAGTTTGGGAACTATAGTTCTAATTTATTTAAAACTGCTGATTGACTATGCTAGTCAATCAAAGGTCTTCATTCTTCACTTATTTATCATGACAAGAAGTCTCCAGAGCTTTTTTTTTTTCTCTCTCTCTCTCTCTGATCTGGTTCTATAGAATCAGCAAATACATGGATCACACATAGATTTTCTAGCCCAAAGACTTGCCTCTGGGCTGAACTTGGTTGACTCCATTGAAGAAAAAAGAGTTACTGATTGTTATAGCAGGGTAAGTTCATTCTTCCAGAATTTTTCCATGTAATTATTTCTTGGAATATAGCCATTGCTGGCTAGGAATCTTCTCCTATTTCTCTTGGAAATATCTCAACTATGGCATATCTGAACAGAAATTTAATTAACATTGGAATATAACACACATAATTAATAAAAGGCACCCTGGGATCTCTTTCAGCAGGTCCCTGCTTTAGTTATCAGCTCAGGGGCAATTAGTTACCAGAGGCCTATTACTCTGACATGTACTGAGTTATGCATTGAGCTGTGAATTTAGTTTGAAAACTTGCACTCTCATCTCATGACATCCTAGCTCAGACAGGAAAAGCAGGTTTCCTTAAACTGGACTACTCCAGTTTTTCCTTTAACCACCAAACTGCCATCTTCTTCCTCTATGGGGTTCAGTTTCCATAGTCTTTTCATACACAGCATCCCTCAGTCTTCTAAAAGCCATCAGGACCCATCCAGTGTTTCTATGGCACTTTCATATAATGCAGTCAGATTATGTGTGCATTTAATATGAGTCCTCAGAAAATGAATTCTCAACCATTATTTATATTGTCATTTCTTAAATTTTACAAGGCATGGGTTTTCTGAAACACAATATAGATGACTAAAATTTTGAAAATGGAAGTAGAATGTGACTGGGGGCTGTAGCTCAGAGAGAAAAAGGGCTTAACCTGTGTCACCGTCATCTCAGTGCATTTTGAATATAAGGAAATGAGAGATACAAACATAAGCAGAAGACTGATTTTCAGAGACGACGTCTCTGTTAGGATGCAAGTAACATGAAACAGCAACAAATTCGACATGTTTGTTCTCAGAAAAGTTTTCATGATCCCCACAGACCCATCATATTTAGACTGCCAACAGCATTATAGGTATCAATCACCTAATTATATGGTTAGTGTTTGGGAAACCAGGAGATACAAAAGAAAATGCATCTCAAATAGCAAAAGCAATCATATGACCTGACTTGCCTAGGAAAATTCTAGGTTTTATTAAACTGCCCACCACTGCTAAAACAACCCAGTTTGCAGCATAAAATATCTGATCAGATCATTTTACATGTAATTCCATCCTAAATTTAATGAGAAGTTTTTAGAAAGAGCAGACATGATGAATGATGTGTAAATATGTTCTCAATTCATAGATATTTGTTTCCCAAAATTAAATGATGATACTGGGTGTGGTGGTGCACACCACAGCAGCTCCGGAAGCTGGGGCAAGGGGATGGTGAATCCAATGCCAGCCTTAGCAAAAGTGATGTGCTAAGCAACTCCACTGGGTTTAGACCCTGTCCCTAAATAAAATACAAAATAAGGCTGGAGATGTGGCTCAGTGGCTGAGTGCCCCTGAGTTCAAGCCCTGTCACCTGTTCCCCCCCCAAAATTAAATGATGAGATTAAATGATGAGATTAATGAGTTTTCATGATCTGGAAGGGCTGAAGTAATTGTATTGGACAGGAGACTTTTGTAGCCAGAGAAGACAATCAGACAATTTTGCATCTACAACTTCCCCCAGAGACACAAGTACATCTCTGGATTACATTGGAAATGACAAAAGTATTGAAGATGTCCTTGGCTTGAAAGCTGCACTTTCCACAACAGATTCTGGGAACTTATTGGGAATAACCAGGTCTCATCACATACTGGCACCTGATAACAAGGCTGCACATTTATGTTCTCTGTGAAAGATTTGAAATTAAGAGCAGAAAATTCATTTTAGATACAACCAAACTGCACATGGTAGGCATTCGCCATGTTCATAAAACTGGCTCTTTCTTCTATGTAGTCACAACAGTATTAAATGAAACTACCACAGACCTAAGTATGGAAAACACTTGGAGGTTTTCCAGCTACACACTGGGGAATTCACAAATTATAAATGATGGTTTCTCCCCAAGCTGGGTTGTGGCTGCCTTTGTCCTTAGAGATTTGTTTTCCCAGTCACCATTTGCTATTGGCAAACAAACAAGACAGATGCTCTGGGAATGAGGTCCCTGTGAGTTCACTATGGAATTCGCCTCTCTTGCCCAAGGAATTCTGGAAAATCACAATGAACTTGGCTGACCATTATCATGTATCAGCCATCCCAAAAGAAAAAAAGAAAGAAACAAACAAAAAATCCTTTTTCTTCCTATGCCAAGCCTAAGATTTTTGTTTAAATTTCAATTTAACTCAGCATTGACCTAGAAACATAATAGAGGAAACAAAAGATGCTGGGGGATTCTTGAGATTGCAACCGGTAGTGTTCATTTTTGTATCCTATCGCCAAGCTCCAACTACATAATAACATTATTGCCCAGGACACACAGCTGCACCATGGTGAAAAGTGGAGTAAAACCACTGAATCTGAGCCTGCATTTGGCACTCTTTTGTTATATCACTTTATCAGTGAATCAAGAAAGGGTATAAAGACAACACATGTTTTTAATTTTCTAAATATTTTTTAGCTAAATATATATGTAAGGTTTATTTTTATGATGTGGTGTTTGCAAAGATGAATACGTCGTGATTGTTGAAATCCAGGAGTTCACAATCAAGGAAAAGAGGTATATATTATTCATCCTTCAAACCTCAACCAGTATTTCCCTTTCCAACCCTCCCTTCTCTAGTGACTTGGTACTTCTATACACATATATCTTAGCACATATCTAAGTTTATCACAGATATTTCTTTTTTTGTTTCCATTATTCAAATGCAAGTTTTCCATGAACAAAAGTGACATATTCTTCAGGTTTACATTTCTTGTGATAGCAAGTCAGTGGCATGCAATGGAAGAGGCTTGATAAAAGGTTGTAGAATAGAATGAATGAATAAACTGAATGAATAATGTGGTGGATGAAAAGAATAGTGATCAAGTGCTGCAACAGAAATTCAAAATAATGCAAGATTCCCTGCTGTATTCAAATTATAAGAATACAATGTCAATTCATAAAAGTAAATATAATGGGGTTATACTTAGGTTATTTACTTCTAAAAGGCATCATGTGGTTTCTATTTAATATGTTGCGTCTACCTCTAATTTTCAGAGATTTTAAGGAGGCACAATAGGGCTGGGGATGTGGCTCAAGCAGTAG